TGATACTGCTCTGGTTTCCCGAATCCTTGGGGCTTTGGAGCCAGGCCCTGGAGACAGACCGCTCGAAACCAACTTAGGGTTAGGCTTAGGGCTTATGAGCATGACAGGCCTGATGTGCTGGTGCTGTGATGAGCTTCCCACGGTCTGAGTTGAGGCCGTGGGTCAGGGAGGAGTTTCAGGCTCAGGGATTGCCACCTGGGCACGTTGAACTTGGGGTTTGTTGGGATGGACTGGCACAATTCTCCTGCTCTGAATGCTTACCGGAGTTCCCAATGGCACATTTTCCTTTCTAGTGGCAGGCAGAGTCCTCTGACTGGTCAGGTGTCCCACATCCCTGGGGCTTTGGAGCCAGGCTCTGGGGACAGAGCGCTCAGAAGCCAGCTTTGGGTTAGGCTTAGGGCTTAGGGGCATGACAGGCCTGATGTGCTGGAGCTGTGATGACCTTCCCGTGGTCTGAGTTGAGGCAGTGGGTTAGGTTGAGTGTCAGGCTCATGGTTGGCTGCCAGAGGGCGCCAAATTTGTGAATTGGCCGGGATGGGCATTCAGAGTAGTCTTATTCTGAACCCTCTCTGGAGTTGCAAGTAGTGTGTTTGAATTCTTTTGGGGAAGCTCAGTCCTCTGGTGTTGCTCAGTTATTGCCATCCCTGGGGCTTTGGAGCCAGGCTTCTGGGGACAGAAGCTCAGAAGCCAACCTAGGGATCGGCTTATGGCCTAGGGTCATTTCAGCCCTCACCTGCCCACGCTGGGGCAAGCTTGGGGGGCGGGGCATCTGAGTGGGGGGCGTGGGTGATGGTGAGAATCAGTTCAGGGTTTGTGGGCAGGGGGCCGTTGGACGTGGTTTTTCCCCGGGATGGGCACGGAGAGTTCTACTCAGAAACCTTTGCCGCAGGTTCCCAACGGTGCGGTTTGCTTCTGGGAGACAGGCTGGATCCTCTGGTATTGCTCACGTGCCCCCGAACCCTGTGGCTTTAGAGCCAGGCCTCTGGGGCCAGAGCCCTCCGAAGCCAGCGAGGGGTAGGGTGAGGGCCTAGGGGCACGGCAGGCCCGACGTGCCAGCACTGTGGCCTGCTTCCTGGGGGTTTGTCTTGAGGGCCTGGATGAGGTTGAATGTCAGGCTCGGGGTTTGCCGCTAGAGGGCGCAAAATTTGTGCATTCCTTGGGATGGGCATTCAGAGTCCTCCTGCTCTGATTGCTTTCAGGAGGGTAAATGGTGCGTTTACTTTCTGGGTGGCCGCCTGAGTCCCTCGATATTGCTCGGGTGTCCCGAATCTTTGGGGCTTTGTAGCCAGGTTCTGGGGACTGACCCCTCAGAAGCCAACCTAGACTGAGTGTTAGGACATAGGGACACGGAGGCCTGATGTACTGGCGCTGCATCGAGGTTCCCGGGGGTGGGGGTCAAGGGCGTGGGTCAGTGTGAGTGTCTTGCTCTTCTTTACAGCCCAGGGACTGCTGAAAGTGTGGGTTCGCTGGGATGGGCATGCTGCATTCTCCTGCTGTGAATCCTTTCCGGAGTTCCAAAAGCCGGGCTTTCTTTCTGGGTGGAAGGTGAGTCCTCTGGTATTGCTCTGGAGCGAGCCCTAGGGAACAAAGCACTCAGGAGCCAACCTAGGGTTGGGGTTAGGGCCTAGGGGTTAGGGCCTAGGGGTTAGAGTGTAGTGGTTAGGGCATAGGGGTTAGGGTGTAGGGCCTACGGTTAAGGTTAGGGTTAGGGCCTAGGGTAGGGCCAGGGTTAGGGTTAGGGCCTAGGGTTAGGGCGTAGGGTTAGGGTTAAGGGTTAGGGGTAAGGGTACGGGTTAGGGTATGGGTTAGGGTACGGGTACGCGTTAGGGTTAGGGTACAGGTCAGGCTACGGGTTAGGGTACGGGTACGGGTTACGGTACGGGTTAGGGTTAGGGGTAAGGGTAAGGGTTAGGGTTAGGGTATGGATTAGGGTTAGGGTACAGGTTAGTGTACGGGTTAGGGTTAGGGTACGTGTTAGGGTACGGGTGCTCTGGGTTCTGCTGACATTGTTCACAGTGTCCACAGGAGAAGGGTGGCCCATGTGAGTGCTCACTGGCTCATTGTAGCAGATCACGCTAGAGCAGAGGG